CAGCATGTCATGAAAACCTAGGTCATTAAAGGATGTCATGAATAACTAGCTTAAACATAAAAGTATTAGTTCCACCACATATATATATAGCCTACTATGTATATTGTGTATCTTTAAGTGCTTATACACATAAAACACTTACAATGTAGTCATTTAATATTAAACCTGATCTAATTTTAATACCATTTATCATACTAAAAGTGTTTATTCAAGTTTGCAATAGACTGGTACAACCTGGTAAAAAGCCATTTTCTAAGCAGCCATCTATGACCAGAGGCTGAACAAAGGTTAGCTCTTGCAGACTTACTCATAACACAAGTTAATAACATATAATAAAAGGAAGATAAACATATTTTATGTTACGATAAAGTTGGAACAGCTGGACTTTGAGCTGAGAAAATTCATTTCAATTTATCAGTGTGTGAATGAGTATTGGAAAGCTCCTTTGAGTGTTCTTAAAAGCGATGCATAAGACTGATGCATTTTATTATTAAAAGGAAGCGTGCAAAGTAAGGATTTCATAGCAAACACCAAAAGGACAGAGAATATGAAGTGATTTTTAAGTTACTAAATTGAAAAATGTAATCCTCTTTTTAAGCTTGAAAATAAGTTGTGAATAATCACTTTGTGCATCTAGTTTTACTAAGAAAAGCTATTTAGTGATCAGTGCAGAAATCTTTGTGTTGCAGTTGTTTTTCTTAATGCTACAACTGCCCTGTTCAGAAACTTTAATACTCTTGTAAATATTAGCTACAGAATAAATTTACCTCAGTTTTGGCACTGATTGCCAGATTTAAAAAAAGGAAGCAGAAATAAAATTTTTAAAATTAAGACTAGTTACTGTACTGCTAGCAAACTTTACTTTACTGTACTGTCAAATCTGAAACCATTTAGATCCCTTCATTTTTTGCACATACTGTAATATTATTCAGAGATAAAATCTTTGTATAGATATGTTTTTAATCAGCACAGAGCTGAAAAAAACCAAACAAGCTTTGAAAATTGAAAATTTTATTTTTTAATATATAAAAAGGTAATTAGAAAATCAGAGGTAGCAAAAAGATCTTCACGATGGGGTTACATCTGAAGAAAACCAGAGTCCACAATTACATAGATCATTAGAGGCACATAAGATACATTTTTCAAAATGGATGTTAATGTTTTTCTTAATTTTAAATAAACATGTACTGCAGTTACCCAAATATGGGCAAATGGAAAGTAGAATGGCTCCTACTAAAGCAAAATGTGCAAAAATACTGTAGAGTCATTTTACCCATTGAATTCTGAAAAACATGTCTTCACATGGACAACATGTCAACATATTTATTTAGACAAATACTTCTGGAAGAGTATTTTATGCGATAGGTAGCACTTGTACATTAAAATAATAATTTCATTTCAGGGAGTGTTAGTGAAATGAGAGAATGTTGTACAAGATCTTTGTCTTGTTTGTTATTCCCATGTTATGGAGAGCATTTGACAGCTCAGCTCCCACAACTTCTGCGCCAGCTCGTCGTCTTTTCCAGCGGCGGAGCAGTTGGCCGGAGCACAGTCGCTGCAAAACAGAAGCGGTCAAGTTTAACTCCTGTCACTCTGACTTGACATTTCTGTGGCACGTTATCCCAACAAGTAATTGTTTCATGTGATTAAAACACAAAAGTCATCACTTGTTTGCTGCTGATTATCTTATTGACCTTCACACTGATCGTCCTGTTCTGAGTACCTGTAATATCCACCGCTCTCCTTCTCCAGTGACGGTTCCACGGCACAGTAAATCGTAGTCTGAGCCCCTTGGACAGAGTTTTTGGTAAAAGGCTTGGCTATCTTTATGAAGAACTGCTCGGGGCTGCTCAGGTGGCGCCACAGGTCCGTTTGAACAACTCCAGGGTGGAGCGAGTACGTCGTCACGCCTGTGCCTGGACGGGAACATGGCAGCAAGGGTCAGAGGAAAGGTTTACAAGAGAGGAGCGAGACCAGCCATGCTGTGTGGTTTGGAGACGGTGGCACTGACGAAATGACAGGAGACAGTTAATTCTCTGTTTGAAGCTTTTAAAAAGAACAAAAATCACACATTTAAGGTTACAATTAACTTGTCTGGTTTATAGTTTGACCTGCCAATCTGACGCTGCTTCGTGAACAAACGGTACTATTAATTGGAAGTTGGAACTAGCGTAGAAAACTTTGATCGGCACATCTTCAGTTGTAATGCATACCTTCTAATCTTTTCGCCAGCGAGCGGGTGAAGAGAATGTTTGCAAGTTTGCTCTGTGCATAAGCTTTGTTCTTGTTGTAACTCTTCTCACTGTTGATGTCCTCCAGATTGATCGAACCCCAGGAGTGAGCCATGGAAGATACGGTGACAATCCGGGCCGGAGCCGATCTTTTAATCAGGTCGATCAACAAATACGTCAACAGAAAATGGCCTGGAAACAAAAAAAGGAGTAGGTTCAGGTTTAGTTTTGGCATTTCAGAAAAGAGAAATTCAGAAGTAAAACAGTGCCATAAATATTTGTTTTTAAACTAATGTAACCAAATCCAAGTATCTGGAAATTAACCAAAGGAAAAAGAAGTTAAAAAAATTCAAGAGTTTGCTTCAGAGTATTATAAATCTTGGCATGGAATGTTTCTGATGGCTTCATGATACTTCTTATCAGACCACAGGAGTGTTTGCCTTATTGGTGATAAACAGCAATCAGTATTTAAACA